TCGTTTTTTCTCAACAACATCACCCAATCAGCGGTCATTTATTCCTCAGCCGACTCGTATCTGGAACGTGTTTGGTCAACAAAACAAATACACATATCGAGGAAAACTCGACCAGATAAAGGCTTCCCCACACAATTCACTCCAGGGGCCAGATTCACGAAGCAGTTACGCCAGCACTTACGAACCTGTACATCTTTTCTCAATCTTTGGCGGGTTTATTTACAATTATTAAACAGTTAATGAGCTCCGAAGCACCAGGAGGTTGTTTATAACAATTACAACAGTTGATTGGCAAGTTTTCATGCTTGTAAACTGTTTAATAAATGTAACCAAAACCGTCAAAGATTGAGGAAAGATGTACACGTTCGTAAGTACCTGCGTAACTGCTTCGTGAATCTGGCCCCCTCGTTTATCCCAATTCCCTACTTCATTGTTAGATAGCTTTAAATGTTAGCTTACTCGTAATGGGAACAACGAAGAAGCTCGATAAATAAAGGAGTCTCTTGGGGGACAGCCTTCAGATGATGTAGGATAACAGTGCTATACCTGCGGGTTCATTAGGTGTATCACCATAATCCTAGCCTTAGTTTAACAGAGAGAGAGAGACAGAGAGAGACAGAGAGAGAGAGAGACAGAGAGAGAGAGAGACAGAGAGAGAGACAGAAACAGAGATAAAGATCGAGTTTGAGAGAGCACGAGAAAGATCAAGTTGGGAGAGCTAGAAGAAGAAACAGAGAGAAAGTGAAGAATATTTTATGAGACATCAACAAAAGAAAATTTATCAGGAATATGACAGCCAGCTGGAAAGTTTGCAATCAAGATGATTTGCGGTTCCTCCCTCCCTCCCTCTCTCCATCCCCCCCACCTCCTTCTCTATCTCCCACAACCTCCTCCCTCACACCTATCTCCATCTTCCCTCCCCCCTTCCACCAGCCTCCGTTTCCTCCTATCAGCACTCAGGATATGCTGGGCAGATGTGCATGAGTGTGTTATCTTCCTCTCCGTGGTATCTGTAGGTGCTGTCTGTCTGCCTGCATCTTGAACCTGTGTCTGTCTGCCTGCATCTTGAACCTGTGTCTGTGGTACCTGCCTGCTTCTTGTATCTATGAATATCTACTTGTAGTTCCAACGAGTACATACTTGTAGTATCTACACGAGTATCTACTTGTGGTATCTGTACGAGTATCTACTTGTGGTACTTGCTTGTGAAACACGTGTATGGTTGCTAATGACTCCCTGCAGTCTTGCAACACCTACGAGAACCTGCGTGTCTACATTCCTGGTGCTGGCAAAGTGAAGTTTCTGGTACCTTGTTGTCACAAGATTGTGAGGTCTACCTGTGGCATCTGTATAAGGTTATTCCAGTGGCTGCTCAGTGGAATAACAGAAGCCAGCATCTGATGCGTAATGAGCTTAGCTTAGACTATAATGACGTCTCACTATGTCTCTCCCCCTCCTTCTCTCTCTCTCTCTCTCTCTCTCTCTCTCTCTCTCTCTCTCTCTCTCTCTCTCTCTCTCTCTCTCTCTCTCTCTCTCTCTCTCTCTCTCTCTCTCTCTGCCACCATCCAGAAGGACTAGACCCGATATACACCAGAATTTTACACTACCTGTAGTACCAGGAGCCGTCCGACATACCAAGATTCCTCCTGTTTCTGCAAAACTCAACTTACAGATATACTCGCATACCCAGACTTACCTCAAGTACCGGAGGATCTACCCATCATACCAAGACATACCCGCCGTGCCAGAGGTCTAAGCCCACTGCTCTAAGACTTGTGGTCAGCAAGAAGTCTTACCTCCAGGATAAGCACTACAGGTCGAGGGAAAACACATTCCGTCGACTTACTGGTTAACACCGTCGAAGTCTGCCCCGATGCCCACGTGGTCGACGCCCGCCACCTTCCTCACGTGGTTGATGTGAGCTGTGGGGGAGAGAGAGAGAGAGAGAGAGAGAGAGAGAGAGAGAGAGAGAGAGAGAGAGAGAGAGAGAGAGAGAGAGAGAGAGAGAGAGAGAGAGAGAGAGAGAGAAGGGTAGAGACAGAGTAAGCGACGTGGATAGCCAATTTGGTCGTCATTCACTTGCTAACTCCAATATGTCTTTTCGTTCTACTTGAGTTGGATAAGGGGGTAGGGTGGATGAGGGAAATATCTTTCCTCCTGCTATTGTGAGGGGATGAGAGGGAGAGCGAAGGTAGGCCGACGAAAGGGGAGGGAGGAGAAGGAAGGGACTAATCTATGAAAATAGGAAACAAATATTTATACAAATATGTATAAGTATTTCCTTCTCCTACCACCCCTTTAACATATACTTAATTTCTAATCTAAACGCCAATTACTATTTAGTATGCTAAAAAAAAATATCAGATTCAGGAAACACAGATAATAAATTTGGTAGGACGCAGTCTGCAGAGAGCTGATCACTGCCGCCTTCTGTAGTCACAATGAATAGTGACGGTATAGTGAGTCTCCTTCCAGTGATTTCCCGAGAGACAGAAAGATAAGGTAATTATCAGCAGAAAGCTCTAAGCCATTACTACTATATAGAAAAAGACAGAGAGAGAAATAGTAAGAGAGAGGGAGATGGAGAGAGAGAGAGAGAGAGAGAGAGAGAGAGAGAGAGAGAGAGAGAGAGAGAGAGAGAGAGAGAGAGAGAGAGAGAGAGAGAGAGAGAGAGAGAGAGAGAGAGAGAGACGGACAGACACTCGCTCCCGGCTCACTATGTGATAACGAGCCAATGAAAACACTCCTGTTATCAGTAAATGATATAGTAGTTTAATAATTAAATCACACAATCATGTAGTCATGTAATTATTATTCTCATGAATCGCTGATTCTGTGACTCAGCCGCTTAGGAATTCCAGGCCATTGACACGATCTCATAAACATTACATATTTAATGAGGCTTTGCCTAACGACAAGCGTTCTAATCTACACTAACAACCTGACCTATCAAGACCAATTACCGCGAGTTCGAGGTGTCATCAGTCACCCCGTCCTCATGAACGAGAGGCCTCGTTAATCTACCGGTTTATGAACGACTAATCACTTTAGCCACGACCAATCACGTTCGACCTTTTCTCGAACAATGGTTCGAGAAAATGCTATGCGAATAGAAGTTAAATCGCCCAACTTAATCGAGGCTTAACTATATATACCGAATTCCTATATAATTTATCAGTTTTTTTTATACGAGGATATAAAGATTGTTAATACACAGTTCGTTATAACTGATGAATGCGTCTTTGGGGGGTCAGTCAGGTCCCTCGGGGTCCAGGAATTCACCGCTCATTTAATTTCTCTTTTCCTTGCCTCTCTGGGGACACGATGTATGCAAGATCTAATGCATTATTTTCTCTTTCACTTTGAAGCCGTTTTCAGTCGCCCGCGCACGACGAGGCGGAGGCTTCTGGCGCAGAGATTCCAAAACGCTTAAGCGACGACGCACTCAAGTTGCCTCTCTTAATACGTAGCGAGAGTTGGGTCGTGTGCGCATGCGTTGGATGAAGCGCCCAGGGGACAATCAGAAGACAACAAAGCAATAATGTTTTACTCTGAGGTGTTGAGTGACACACACACACACACACACACACACACACTCACACACACACACACACACACACACACACACACACACACACACACACACACACACACACACACACTCACACACACACACACACACACACACACACACACACACACACACACACACACACACACACACACACACACACACACACACACACAGGGGGCCTCGTAGCCTGGTGGATAGCGCGCAGGACTCGTAATTCTGTGGCGCGGGTTCGATTCCCGCACGAGGCAGAAACAAATGGGCAAAGTTTCTTTCACCCTAAGTGCCCCTGTTACCTAGCAGTAAATAGGTACCTAGGAGTTAGTCAGCTGTCACGGGCTGCTTCCTGGGGTGTGTGTGTGTGTGGTGTGGAAAAAAAAAAAAAAAAAAAAAAAAAAGTAGTTAGTAAACAGTTGATTGACAGTTGAGAGGCGGGCCGAAAAAGCAAAGCTCAACCCCCGCAAAAACACAACTAGTAAACACACACACACACACACACACACACACACACACACACACACACACACACACACACACACGTACACACGTTTAAGTGTGTGTCCATGTATGTGCTCCTTCAGTACAGCATGATCGCCATAGCTAAAGACACTATAGTCCATTCGCGCAGGAACCCATCCGGCTGCCAGCCACACACACCGGTGCTTAACCTAAACCTTAACCGAATGCCGTGAAAGAATACAGTAAAATAAAAGACAAATCTATAAATCTTTACCAGGCACGAGTATCGTGTCATCACGGGCTGACTTTAGATTGAAATAACATTACGTTATTATGTCGCTTGGAAATATTTTAAAGCAGTTTCGACACCCAGGTCCCACGATTTTAGTAAATTGTACTGGAAAAGTAAACAGTTTACATCTTAAGTGTGAAAGTATGGTCCTGGATATGCCATGAGGATACGGATTCGAGTAAACGTACGAGTAATCAAAAACATGTCTCAAAGGTAATTTTAAACAATGAGTACACATTATCCGCTACGAGTAATATCCAGATAATATTTCCATGAGTGGAAAAAAAACACTAAAGATATCTGGAAAGAGTTATTTAAGAACGCAAGACGGACAAGTATAGAAATGCAGGTAGCGACGTTCTCATTCGAGTGAGTGAGTTTGACCATCAATTCTCATTATTACCTTTGTTGGAATGAACAATTTAATTTCCATAAGTATATTCGATCGAAGTGGGACTGGTATTTTTTTGTAATACCAACGTGGTATTAAAAATATGTAATCCACGACTCGTTATTTAACCAGCATCTATAAAACTCTCTCTCTCTCTCTCTCTCTCTCTCTCTCTCTCTCTCTCTCTCTCTCTCTCTCTCTCTCTCTCTCTCTCTCTCTCTCTCTCTCTCTCTCTCTTTCTCTCTCTCTACCATCAATTCCTCTGCTGAGATCCCGCGAGGGAAGCACAAAGTGCCTCGCCAAGGCTCTGGTAAAGAAGTATTCCTGAAGGAATCACTTGATTAACCTGGAAATTATTATTCATTTCACATTATGCCACGCTTTTCATTATCGAATCTAATACTGACGGGAAACGTGTTTATATATCAGTGCAAGAGACTCACCGACCACATCCTTGACGGAGGCGTGTTGACTGCAGGTGAGGAAGTGGTTATAGAAGCTCACCATCACCAGACCACCGTTGACAGCCTGCCGGTGGAGGGAGAGAGAGCACTCGTTACCCGGGCACCACACAGCGAGGGCCAGGCACAGTGCCCATACCCAGGGGGGTGTTTTTAGCACTATATTATGGCAGTGACTGTCTCATTGATGTGGCTTTATTTACCCCCTCAATCCTCCCCACTCACACCCCCACTCTCCCCAACTCACTCTTATCTTTCTCAGATCTTACCTCACTCTCCCAAACGTCCCCTCAATCTCCTTTACTCTCACCAACTTCCTCTCCCTCTTCTTCACTCTCCCTCACTCTCCCTCACTCTCCCTCACTCTCCCAACACTCACCACCTTCCTCAGGATGTCGTCCGGGACGTTTCTGGGGTTCTTGCAGATGGCGTAGACGGAGGAGTGACTGAAGATGACAGGCGCTCTGGACACCTCCAGCGCCTCCTTCATGGTGGCTTGTGAGACGTGGGACAGGTCCACCAGCAGCCCCAACCGGTTCATCTCCCTCACCACCGTCTGTTGGAGAGAGAGGGGAGAAAAGTGAGAGATGGGGTGTCTAGTAGGTTCCTCATCTCCCTCACCACCGTCTGGGGGAGAGAGAGGGGAGAGGTGAGAGATGAGGGGTCCACCAGCTTCCCTCCAACCTCCGATTGTCAACATTCGAAGGACGTATAAAATGTAAATAAATGTATTATATATATATATATATATATATATATATATATATATATATATATATATATATATATATATATATATATAAAACATTATCAAGTTCGAGAACTTTTTTTTTGGTAGAAGTGATAAGTTTCAAAAATATTGATAATCATAATGTTTCAAATGGAATCGTAGAAGCAAGTTTCATATAAATAAAATAGCTGGTAATATTAATAATATTACCATGGGAGACAGAAATGACTAAGATTAGAATTCTAACACAAAAAATCAATATTGGAACCCATGAAAACAGTATTGTAACCGCTAAAAACAGTATTGGAACCCCAGAAAACAGTACAGAATCCCCAGAAAACAGTATGGAAAGAAGTGAACTCCATGAAAACAGTATAGAATCCCCTGAAAACAGTACTGAACTCCCTGAAAACAGTACTGAAAGAACTGAACTTCCTGAAAACAGTACTGAAAGAACTGAACTCCGTGAAAACAGTACTGAAAGAACTGAACTCCCTGAAAATAGTACTGAAAGAACTGAACTCCCTGAAAACAGTACTGAAAGAACTGAACTCCCTGAAAACAGTACTGAAAGAACTGAACTCCCTGAAAAAAGTACTGAAAGAACTGAACTCCCTGAAAACAGTACTGAATAAACTGAACTCCCTGAAAACAGTACTGAAGGAACTGAACTCCCTGAAAACAGTACTGAAAGAACTGAACTCCCTGAAAACAGTACAGAATCCCCTGAAAACAGTACTGAATAAACTGAACTCCCTGAAAACAGTACTGAAACCCTACAAAAAAGCACTGAAACCCCAGGTAAACAAACACTGACTGGGGGCGTGTCAAACATATTATATTTTCCATTTTGTTGTGCTGGGGAATCCACATATTTTTATTCGAATAAATTGGTCAGATTAGTATACCATAAATGTTTAAATTAATAAATATATTGCAGTGCTACAGAAGCCTTAAATTCCTCTTGTATTTATATTATTTTATTGTATTTTGTTGTATTTCTACATTGCTATCTTCATCACATTTTTTGGAGTAGAAATTATTTATTGTATCGAAGAAGTCATAATACTGATTATTGAATTTATGAAAATCAGATCTATATTCTTCTCAAGAGTAAATAGTAAAATTGTTTTAATATGTTAAATAAATATTGATTTATTTTTATTATATTAATTTACTTGTTTACTATAATTTAACTGTTCCCTTGATTACATTATTAAATTAACCAGATATTAAATTAATAATTAAATATTGATGGTCATATATTTATGTCATATAACAGTGTGAGTAACCTATTTATTACCTATAATATCTCATGTTGATATATATATGACACACTGAGTGTTAAGTGAGGGAGGAGTATATACTGTGTGTCACACTTAGTGTTATGAGGAGTATACTGTGTGTCACATGTTGTTTAGGATTTGCTGCCTGGAACAAAAAATTCCAAGTAGCACGGGCTATGGTGACCCCGTAGTGGACTTTTTTTGTGTGTGTGTGAGATAAAGTATTTGTATTTGTATGTGTTTTGTATTTTTGTATTGAGTGAGATAAAGTAATATAGCTATTTCTGACAGTAGAACAACATTTTGACTACTGTTCACAGAGCCCTTTTTGTTCCTCTACTCACCCCCCCCCCCTCCTCCCTACTCCTCGCCCTGCAACAAATCAGAAGCCACCTTTGCAACATCCCAGTCATCATCATCAAGTTGGTAATGCAACAAAGTTTTCTCTCATTTACAAAGCCTGAAAAGAATTATCTATTCAGGCTCTGAAAAAAGTCTCTCTGACTCTGAATAGAGTCTCTCACCGCTGGACCAGCCGACGCAAACCTCGAAGAATGACTGATGACTCTCTGTCTAGCAAAGTTTGTTTTGCTTTCAAGCTTAAAGCCTATTGACCTTGTAGGGATTATTGGCCCCTCTGGCCAGTCGGCAAGCTTAGTTACCCCATAGTTGCGGAAAGGAAGCTTGATAGTCTTAACAGTATTAGCCACAGGAACCACGCCAGAGAGGTACGAAGACGTATATATACACACACACGGCCCGAAAGTGTACTTGAGAACATGACAGACAGACTTACCCTGCCAAAGTGAGTGAGGCCCCTTGGTGAGTCAGGGTCCTCCAGGTCCGTCTCCCGCGCCCTGGCGCACTCCGCCCTGGAAACATAAGAAAAGGTAACATTAATGTGTATTATACTCTGAAATGGTCAAATCCACAAGGGCCGTGACGAGGATTCGAAACTACGACCGAGAGGATCCCGGACGCTGCTTTAATCGACTGAACTACGACATGGTTAGGTTGTTGTTGTTGTTGTCTTAGATTTAGCTACTCAGGACCATGTGTCCATGTAGCACGGGCTATGGCGAGCCCGTAACAAGCGTCTAGGATCCTCTCAAACGTAGGTTCGAACCCTCGACGTCAAGATCCCTGTGGATTTATTCATTTGATGCATCACACTATTGTGATTTCTGTGTGTTCTGAAACAGTGTATTTACAAATGAACCATTTAAAAATGAAGAGTTTAGAAATAGAGCATTTTTGAAATGGGTATTTTTTTTTTAAATGGGGCTTTTGAAAATTGACAAAAGTTTGAACTGGGATGTTTTTGAACTGTCACAGTAATTTGGGATATATTTTATCTTATTTTTTTGGCTTTGGTTGTTTGAGAATACGAAAATTATATTCATTGGAAACTGTGAGAGCAAAGACACGTACATAAAATGTGAATAGCGTAAAGTGATAGATACGGCTGGACTCACCAGGGGAGGGTGCTGCAGGTATGGGGACTCACCAGGAGGTGCTGCAGGTGTGGGTACTCACCAGGGGGTGCTGCAGGTGCGGGTACTCACCAGGGGGTGCTGCAGGTGTGGGTGAGGGTCAGGTAGCGCACTCCCAGGTCCCTCAGGGCCCTCAGGACGCCGAGGGAGTTCTGTATGGCGTGGCCGCCCTCCACGCCGATCAGGCTGGCGATGCGTCCCTCCTTGAACGCTGCTTCCACCTCTGACGCAAACAAACACCTGCCTTAGTCTCCACCTCTGACGCAAACAAACACCTGCCTTAGTCTCCACCTCTGACGCAAACAAACACCTGCCTTAGTCTCCACCTCTGACGCAAACAAACACCTGCCTTAGTCTCCACCTCTGACGCAAACAAACACCTGCCTTAGTCTCCACCTCTGACGCAAACACCTGCCTTAGTCTCCACCTCTGACGCAAACACCTGCCTTAGTCTCCACCTCTGACGCAAACACCTGCCTTAGTCTCCACCTCTGACGCAAACAAACACCTGCCTTAGTCTCCACCTCTGACGCAAACAAACACCTGCCTTAGTCTCCACCTCTGACGCAAACAAACACCTGCCTTAGTCTCCACCTCTGACGCAAACAAACACCTGCCTTAGTCTCCACCTCTGACGCAAATACCTGCCTTAGTCTCCACCTCTGACGCAAACACCTGCCTTAGTCTCCACCTCTGACGCAAACAAACACCTGCCTTAGTCTCCACCTCTGACGCAAACAAACACCTGCCTTAGTCTCCACGTCTGACGCAAACAAACACCTGCCTTAGTCTCCACCTCTGACGCAAACAAACACCTGCCTTAGTCTCCACCTCTGACGCAAACAAACACCTGCCTTAGTCTCCACCTCTGACGCAAACAAACACCTGCCTTAGTCTCCACCTCTGACGCAAACAAACACCTGCCTTAGTCTCCACCTCTGACGCAAACAAACACCTGCCTTAGTCTCCACCTCTGACGCAAACAAACACCTGCCTTAGTCTCCACTTCTGACGCAAACAAACACCTGCATTAGTCTCCACCTCTGACGCAAACACCTGCCTTAGTCTCCACCTCTGACGCAAACAAACACCTGCCTTAGTCTCCACCTCTGACGCAAACAAACACCTGCCTTAGTCTCCACCTCTGACGCAAACAAACACCTGCCTTAGTCTCCACCTCTGACGCAAACACCTGCCTTAGTCTCCACCTCTGACGCAAACAAACACCTGCCTTAGTCTCCACCTCTGACGCAAACAAACACCTGCCTTAGTCTCCACCTCTGACGCAAACAAACACCTGCCTTAGTCTCCACCTCTGACGCAAACAAACACCTGCCTTAGTCTCCACCTCTGACGCAAACAAACACATGCCTTAGTCTCCACCTCTGACGCAAACAAACACCTGCCTTAGTCTCCTCTTGTGACAAAAATACCGGTATGATTTTCGACAAATAAAACTAAGGACACACAAACCAACAAACAACTGCAAAACACACACAAACATACCGTGGTATTGGACATCAGTGCTACAGACCAACAAACACAGCCAGTGCCAGGGAGCAACAAACACAGGCAGTGCCTCAGACCAACAAACACAGGCAGTGCCACAGACCAACAAAGACAGGCAGTGCCAGGGAGCAACAAAGACAGGCAGTGCCAGGGAGCAACAAAGACAGGCAGTGCCAGAGATCAACACACACAGGCAATGCCACAGACCAACAAAGACAGGCAGTGCCAGGGAGCAACAAACACTGGCAGTACCAGGGAGCAACAAACACAGGCAGTGCCAGGGAGCAACAAACACACCGGCCTTCATTAAAGATGGCAGCGAACGAAGGCAGTGATAATTCTGACATCAAAAAATCATCTTGCCGCCTGGGCTTTTAAGGTAAGCCAACGGAGCCTCCAGACAGGCGAGGGAATGAAGGCTAATTTCCTCCTCCACTGTGTTGAAGTCCGCCTACACCCCACCACCACCCTAAATGCACGCACGCACATATTCTATATATATATATACACACACACACATATTACATACATATCCGCTCCTGTGCCAGGTAAGTCCACTACGGGCTCAACATAGCCTGTGCTACTTGCTCCGCTCCTGTGCTAGGTAAGTTACGGGTTTCACCATAGCCCGTGCTACTTGGAACTTGTTCCGAGTAGCTGAATCTTTAACAACACAACAACATACATACATATATGAACATACATACACATCAACCCCATGCCCTATACTACCTACCTGGAGAACACACATACCATTGAGACGGAGTATGATGGAGATAGTTTGTTTAAGTGAGAATGCTAAGAAAGTAGTGTAATAGGAAATCAGATGCACCAAAATACAAACGACTACGGAGGCGACTGAATTCAAGGAATGGATAAACGAGAAAATCCAAGATGCAACTGCACTCGCAAAAACAAAACTATTGGGAGTCCTACCTAATGCAGCCTTCTCTCAACATTATCATGTTTTAAGAAAGGAGAGGAGAAGAAACGATGAGGTGAAAGCCTACTGTCGGTCAGGAAGAACCGACAGTCAGTGTGTGTGTGTGTGTGTGTGTGTGTGTGTGTGTGTGTGTGTGTGTGTGTGTGTGTGTGTGTGTGTGTGTGTGTGTGAAAAGAATTCAGGACTTGCCCGAAATGCTACACATGCTCGTGGCTGTACAAGAATGTAACAACTCTTGTATACATAATTAAAAAAAATTAAAAAAATAGAGGCATGGCCTTAACAGAGAAAACTGAAGAAATAGGCCATTTATTATCCCAGAAAAAAATTGTCTCAACCAAGGAGGGATAAATTGGGAAAATAGGGAATTCCATCGGGTCGCAAATACATTTAAAAGTTAAATTCATGGAAGTTGCAATGGAAAACTTGCCGAGATAATATGTCAGTGGACACATACGAGAAAGGAGTAGAGTGATGAACCAGCCAGACTCAACCTGATATTCACTGTGAATTAGTCAGCCATGAAGTCAAATTTGAGACGAACTTGAAATTTTGAGATCATTATATTTGCGCAGCTGGTGAAGATGGGCGTGACCATAGGGAGGGAAGGGATCAGGATGTAGATGGTCGGCACAGACCAACATCCTCAACATCCCGACATCATACTCCAACATTCACACAACATCCCGACATCATACTCCAACATTCACACATCATCCCGACATCATACTCCAACATTCACACAACATCCCGACATCATACTCCAACATTCACACAACATCCCGACATCATACTCCAACATTCACACAACATCCCGACAACATATCGGGCTGACAGCAACATTCAGACAACATATCTGGGCGACAGCAACATTCAGGCAACATCCCGACAACATATTTGACTGACCTCAACATTCAGATAACATTTCGGCAACATATTTGGTTGAAAGCAACATTCAGGCAACATCCCGACAACATATTTGACTGACCTCAACATTCAGGCAACATCCCGACAACATATTTGACTGACCTCAACATTCAGACACCATCCCGACAACATAAAAATAAGAGTCCTCCAAACACCCATAATTTTTTTATTCAACATTTTTCTCTTTTACGTTCTTATTATATTTTATTCTGCCTTCTCCTCCTCCCCTCGTTACCTCCATCCATCCCAACACCCTCCCCCCCCTCCCCCTCCCCCTCCCCTCCCCCTCGTAAGAACACGCAAGACTTTCTCGAATTAATCTGCCCGACACACACACACACACACACACACACACACACACACACACACACACACACACACACACACACACACACACACACACACACACACGCCACGCACACAGATCACATGGAGCAAGTCAAGGTTGATAATGCTTGGATTACTGGCTCTCCAGAGGAAAGATATATTTTCTTCAGGATGTGGGAGAGTGAGTTGGGGAGTGGTGTGGGAGGAAAGATGTGTGAAAGTAGGAGTGTGAGAGAGGGAGAGAAGAGCATATGCGAAGAACAGAGAGCAGAGAAGTAAGAGGGAAGTGAGAGAGAGAGAGAGAGAGACAGAGAGAGAGCGAGAGAGAGAGAGATGGAGAGCGTGTGAGAGAAGACCAGGGGAGAGCATAATAGAGAGGGAGAGTGATGGAGATAGGGGGGGAAGGGAGTGAAGATGATTGTGCCTTTATCACAATCAATATCTACATAATTATCACCCATTATCATCCCGTTATTATCACTGCTAGCACTACCATACCAATACCACCAGCTGTGGTATTCACCACCACCACTGTACCGCCACAGCTACCACTCCCACCACCACAACCACCACAAGCCTCCACAAGCCTCCACCACAAACCACAACCATCGCAGCTGCCTCAGTGATTGCACCACACAGAATTATACACAACCGAATCAATGTAAACAATCTGGAACAATACAGTTTGGAATAAAATATTCCCATAAAAAGGAGTGTCAGGAGAATGCAGTATACAAGAGTATATGTGGAAACCTCACGAGACTTCCCCGAGTGCCGTATATTCTCTTCTCCGAGGCTTGGGATCTTCACTAATACACCCCGAGGTAAAAAAAAATACAATTGACATCCTATTGTCTTTCCTTGACCAAATTAAAATAATTTTCATGGTTTTGGATACAATACAAATTTACATTTTGAAATATTTTGTAATATATTGTATATGATGATCAATGACCTCATAAGAGGAAAAACATATCGAGACAGTACATATATTGGAAGACAGACAGACAGACAGACAGACAGACAGACAGACAGACAGACAGACAGACAGACAGACAGACAGACAGGTAAGCCCCACCATGCCTAACGAGGAATATAACTGTCGCAATGGCATCGTTCATGCAAGGTTAGTGGTCAGCGTAATCCTCCCTTATTAGTAAATGGAATGCTAATTACACATAAACTCAATTCCTCTCATTTAACAGCTGTCGGTCACAAATTTGAATTCTGGGACAAAGTTCAGGCTCCGCGGTCCCAGGTACGGCTCAAAACACATTTATGAAAGTGAAATGTTTTGTGGGGAACACCAATGTAAAAATATATATATATATGCCATATTTTAAGTATAATGAATTGAGAGTTCTGGAATTTTAGAGGAAAAACTTATGTTTATATTAATTTAGTTCTGGTAAGCTTAATATATGTGTGGCAAATTTGCAAATATTATAATATAAGTTGCATTTTATGTTTTAAAATATACGGTACAGTTTTATTTTCAGGTCTATTGCAATTAATGCATATATAAATATGTAATTTATATTAATTATTGTAGCAGGTGTTTCGTTGGCTGTATTGTGTGTGTGTGTGTGTGTGTGTGTGTGTGTGTGCTTACCTAATTGTGCTTGCGGGGGTTGAGCTCTGGCTCTTTGGTCCCGCCTCTCAACCGTCAATCTACTAGTGTACAGATTCCTGAGCCTACTGGGCTCTATCATATTTACATTTGAAACTGTGTGTGGAGTCAGCCTCCACCACATCACTGCCTAATGCATTCCACCTGTTAACTACTCTGACACTGAAAAAGTTCTTTCTAACGTCCCTGTGGCTCATATAGGTACTCAGTCTCCACTTGTGTCCCCTTGTTCGCGTATCACCCGTGTTAAAACTTTATCCTTATCTATCCTGTGAATTCCTCTGAGAATTCTGTAGGTAGTGATCATGTCTCCTCTTACTCTTCTGTCTTCCATTGTCGTGAGGCGAATTTCCCGCAGCCTTTCCTCGTAACTCATGCCTCTTAGTTCTGGGACTAGCGTAGTGGCATACCTCTGAACTTTTCCCAGTTTCGTCTTGTGCTTAACAAGGTACGGTCTCCATGATGGGGCCGCATACTCCAGGATTGGTCTAACATATGCTGTGTACAAGGTTTGAATGATTCCTTACACAGGTTCCTGAAGGCTGTTCTGATGTTAGCCAGCTTCGCGTATGTCGCAGATGTAATTATTTGTATGTGGGCTTCAGGAGACAGGTTTGGTGTGATATCAACTCCTGGATCTTTCTCTCTATCCGTTTCATGAATTATTTCATTTCCCATTCGGTATCCTGTGTCTGATCTCCTGTTTCCACCGCCTAGTTTCATGACCTTGCATTTACTCGGGTTGAACTTTAGTAGCCATTTGTTGGACCATTCATTCAGTCTGTCTAGGTCATCTTGTAGCCTCCTACTATCATCCTCTGTTTTAATCCTCCTCATATTTTTTGCATCATCAGCAAAGATGAAAGGAACGATTCTATACCCTCTGGGAGATCATTTACATATATCGGAAACAGTATAGGTCCAATGACTGAACCCTGCGGGACTCCACTTGTGACGTCTCACCAATCTGAGGCCTCACCCCTCACAGTGACTCGCTGTCTTCTGTTGCTTTGGTACTCCCTTATCCAATGGAGTGCCTTCCCTTTCACTCCTGCCTGCATCTCCAGCTTTTTCACTAGCCTCTTGTGTGGTACTGTGTCAAAGGCTTTCTGGCAATTCAAAAATATGCAGTCTGTCCACCCCTCTCTCTCTCTTGCCTGATTTTTGTTGCCTGGTCGTAGAATTCAATTAATCCTGTGAGGCAGGACCATCCCTGAACCCATGTTGATGCTGTGTTACAAAGTTCTTTCGCTCCAGATGTTCCACTAGCTTTTTCGCACAATCTTTATCAGCTTGTGTGTGTGTGTATGTGTGTGTTTACTAGTTGTGTTTTTGCGGGGGTTGAGCTTTGCTCTTTCGGCCCGCCTCTCAACTGTCAATCAACTGTTTACTAACTACTAACTTACTAACTACTTTTTTTTTTCCACACCACACACACACACACACACACCAGGAAGCAGCCCGTGACAGCTGACTAACTCCCAGGTACCTATTTACTGCTAGGTAACAGGGGCACTTAGGGTGAAAGAAACTTTGCCCATTTGTTTCTGCCTCGTGCGGGAATCGAACCCGCGCCACAGAATTACGAGTCCTGCGCGCTATCCACCAGGCTACGAGGCCCCTCCACCAGGCTACGAGGCCCCTCGCTGTGTGTGTGTGTGTGTGTGTGTGTGTGTGTGTGTGTGTGTGTGTGTGTGTGTGTGTGTGTGTGTGTGTGTGTGTGTGTGCGTGTGTGCGTGTGTGTGTGTGTGTGTGTGTGTGTGTGTGTGTGTGTGTGTGTTTTCTCTCCGTCTAGGTCTTTCTAGTTTTCTGAGGCATCAGCAAACGTTGATAGAAAGGCGTTTTTGCCCTCGGGGAGAGCATTCACATACATCAGAAATATCAATCTTTTAACTCCTGTCTCTTGGTAACCTCCCTCTACTTGTATGGTCCTTTTCCTCAATGAGATTCTAAGGTAAACCCTCAGGTAAACTCTTCCCTTCTGAGGAAGGGTTTACCTAGACCTACCTTAGGGTAAGTTAGTAAGGTAAGTTAGATCTTAGTAAGGTCTCTCTCTTATCCCAATCTCTCCAGTAGACTAGTTTATTGTTCACCATTTTGTTGAAATTTTTCTGTGACAGTTCAAAACAATGCCAGTCTGGCCGACCCTCTCTTTCCGGAGTGTTGTCGCGCTGTCAAATCCTTCAAGGTTTGTTAGACAGAACTGACGAGGATGTTGCGCTGTAAACACTCTCTACCAAATATTGTATTTATTCTGTGTTTTCTTAAACATTTTCTATGCCACTTTTTTCTAATACCTCGTGCTGTATAGTCATGTTGTTTGGTGATCTCTCCTGATAATTATCTTACTTCAGATTTGGGTGTGGAGCAGCGTGGGTTGGGTGTGGAGCAGCGTGGGTTGGGTGTGGAGCAGCGTGGGTTGGGTGTGGAGCAGCGTGGGTTGGGTGTGGAGCATCGTGGGTTGGGTGTGGAGCAGCGTGGGTTGGGTGTGGAACAGCTTGGATTGGGTATTTGCGTAATCTGGTGACGTGTCCTGATAGATTCTCCACGTTTGTGCTCACCTCTCAACTGCCAATCAACCGGTCTACAGATTCCAATCAGATTGGGTGTACATATTTGTGTGTGTGTGTGTGTGTGTGTGTGTGTGTGTGTGTACTCACCTAATTGTGCTTGCGGGGGATGAGCTCTGGCTCATTGGTCCCGCCTCTCAACCGTTAATCAACAGGTATGGACTCCATGCTGGGGTTGCATACTCCAGGATTGGCCTGACACATGTGGTATACAAAGTTCTGAATGATTCCTTTCACAAGTTTCTGAATGCCGTTCTTATGTTGGCCAGCCTGGCATATGCCGCTGATATTATCCTCTTGATATGGGCTGCAGGGGACACGTCTGCAGTGTGTGTGTGTGTGTGTGTGTGTGTGTGTGTGTATCCTTGGGTTTGCCCATTTGAAGTAGCAGCTATACGTGTGGTAGTGAAATTTCCAAGTCTTTCTTATTATCCAGTGTCTGAGGCTCTCAGTAGCTGGTAATCACTAGTGTGATGTCTTCCCTCCGACAATCACAACATTTTGTCAAATCTTTTTATCGATTTTTTTTTCTTACGACATATTATCTTCCGTAATACCACTCTTAATGGCCAGAGGTTTTGCTAAATATTTTGGTATATAGTTACAAAGACCTTTAAGTGTTTGAGCTCTGATACTGGCATTGCTGTAGTACTGTAGTTATCTCTGATGACAAATTAGCGTTTGTCGTTTAATTAGCGAGTTCGCACATTGACCTTAGGCTGTATTGGGTACATGACAAAATTTTGTATTCTATTTTATTTGACCTTAATCAAACTAGAATAAATATTTATTTATTCTAGTTTGTATTTTATTCTATTTTACCTTAATCTCATATTTGACCTTAAACCCAAGACGATTACGGACAGTAACTACCTTCAGCGCCTCACAGGTCTCTGAGACCAGCTTGACCTCTAACTCAAGATAACTTCTGATACCAAGCTGAAGCTCTTTTTAAATTATATTTAACCTTAATCAGTTAATCATTACCCTCAGCTGACCGTTGATATTTCCTAATGAATAATCACATTCGACCCCCTAATATATATGAACCTAAGCTAACCCCCTTGACCTAAGGTGACCTGTGAACTAAATTGACCACAGATGATCCCAAGTGACCTCAAATCCTAGATTTCCTTTAGCACCTAGTGACCAATGAGCCAAGCTGAACTTTGACCCCTGCTGACCCCTGACCAGTGCTGACCCCTGACCCCAGGTGACCCCAAGACTCACCGTCGGCGGAAGTGGCGAGGCGGAGGTCGTCTGGGTACTGGTCAATGAGGCGCTTGATCAGGTCAATTTGTTCTATGGTGAGTTGAACGGCGTTGAGGCGCTGAGACTCACACGGCACGTAGGAGACCCAGAACTGTGAGGAGGAGAGCAGTGTTAGTGGCGCCAGCTGTGGCCAGGAGAGTAGTGTTAGTGGCACCAGCTGTGGGCAGGAGAGCAGTGTTAGTGGCGCCAGCTGTGGGGAGGAGAGTATATACTTACTCTGTATACTTACATACTCTGTATATACTTACTATAGATACTCCCATATACTTATATATAAAACGAGACATAGAGAGAGAGAGAGAGATAGAAAGACAGAAAGGGACAGACAGAGACAGACAGACAGACAGAAGTGTACGTGCCGCGCCATGAACACAATATTCCATCACAAATATTTTTCCTGCATCGCGACACAAACTTTTTATCCACTAACTGCCAGCTTTTGGTCTTATTGTCGCGTGTCTCAAACACATGAACGAACACTGTCTGTTTTGTTTCCTTGCTTGTCACTCATTGTCACCTTCACTCACCTGGGCACCTACCCTGCCCTCGTTGAGCCTGGTCAGGTCACCAAGGCCACCTACACACCACCTAGACTCACCTGGGCACCTACCCTGCCCTCCTAGAGCCTGGGCAGGTCACCAAGACCACCTACACACCACCTAGACTCACCTGGGCACCTACCATGCCCTCCTTGAGCCTGGGCAGGTCACCAAGACCACCTACACACCACCTAGACTCACCTGGGCACCTACCCTGCCCTCCTTGAGCCTGGGCAGGTCGCCAAGACCACCTACACACCACCTAGACTCACCTGGGCACCTACCCTGCCCTCCTTGAGCCTGGGCAGGTCACCAAGACCACCTACACACCACCTAGACTCACCTGGGCACCTACCCTGCCCTCCTTGAGCCTGGGCAGGTCGCCAAGACCACCTACACACCACCTAGACTCACCTGGGCACCTACCCTGCCCTCCTTGAGCCTGGGCAGGTCGCCAAGACCACCTACACACCACCTAGACTCACCTGGGCACCTACCCTGCCCTATTTGAGCCTGGGCAGGTCACCAAGACCACCTACACACCACCTAGACTCACCTGGGCACCTACCCTGCCCTCCTTGAGCCTGGGCAGGTCGCCAAGACCACCTACACACCACCTAGACTCACCTGGGCACCTACCCTGCCCTCCTTGAGCCTGGGCAGGTCACCAAGACCACCTACACACCACCTAGACTCACCTGGGCACCTACCCTGCCCTCCTTGAGCCTGGGCAGGTCGCCAAGACCACCTACACACCACCTAGACTCACCTGGGCACCTACCATACCCTCCTTGAGCCTGGGCAGGTCGGTGTGGGACCAGGAGGAACGCGACCAAGGACGAAGCTTCTTGAGCTCGGCCGTGAAGTTGAAGCTGTGAAGTTTGTTGTGCATAAACTTCCTGATGTTCCACGGCAGGTCGTTGTGCCTGGGGGAGGAGGAGAGCCTGGTGAGGGCACACAATATGGCGACGAGGGGGGTGAGGGCACACAATATGGCGACGAGGGGAACGTGAGACCCGCTCCGAACACTGTATATATATATGCAGGGCGTTGGGATCGAATTCAGGTCCCTGGACTCCCACACAGGACACACACACACACACACACACACACACACACACACACACACACCACACACACACACACACACACACACACACACACACACGTCACTCACACGTTTAATATCTCTGTCAACAGACTCGGCCAATGACCGCAGCCATGACCTGTCAACAACCAAGTCAGCCAATGGGAATTCGTGTCCATTTTGGCGTCACCTTGAACGACCTGGCCACCTTCACCGGTGTCCAATTGCACGAGGCTCTTACCCCCCCTGTCAGGGACTAATTTCCCTGAGTACACGGGTAGTGAGCCATGGTGCACTCCCTTGACCGAGGCCGTATTCTTTCTCAATGGGTCTGGATGTCGTCTTCCCCATCACCCAAGTATCCCCCCCATCACCCAAGTATCCCCCCCATCACCCAAGTATCCCCCCCATCACCCAAGTATCCCCCCCTATCACCCAAGGATGGCCCTATCACCCAAGTATCCCCCCCATCACCCAAGTATCCCCCCCTATCACCCAAGGATGGCCCTATCACCCAAGTATCCCCCCCATCACCCAAGTATCCCCCCCCCTATCACCCAAGGATGGCCCCATCACCCAAGTACCCCCCCTCCCCCCCATCACCCTTCAGAAATACAACGTTTTAGTGGGCAGAATACACCAGGGATTCAAAAGTTTTCTGTCAGCTTTCCCAAAACTAAATTGTCGAATACACCATGTGTCAAATTTTCTCCCCCATTTACTGTGTGCTTCTTCTCCGCGACCTTCTCTCCTTATCATCCGCACTCATCTCAATTATCTCCCCCTCCCTCTCTCTCCCTTTTCTCACCCCTCCCACTTCTCACCCCTCCCATTTAACCCCCCCCCCCCTCCCCCACTTCCCATGTAGAAAACAAAAGCAAACTTCTGTCCACTTCCTCAGAATTTAGACTTTTGACAACGGTGTGTTTTCACTCTCGTCCTCATCAGAATCTTTTGGGGAATTTTTGCTTAGCTCGTGGACCTGGTCCAGATTAACAAGGTCTCTCTTGGTGAAGCAGGATGGTCCCTGGTGAAGCAGGATGGTCCCTGGTGAAGCAGGATGGTCCCTGGTGAAGCTGGATGGTCCCTGGTGAGACAGGGTGGTCCCTGGTGAAGCAGGATGGTCCCTGGTGAAGCAGGATGGTCCCTGGTGAAGCAGGATGGTCCCTGGTGAAGCTGGATGGTCCCTGGTGAGACAGGGTGGTCCCTGGTGAAGCAGGATGGTCCCTGGTGAAGCAGGGTGGTCCCTGGTGAGGCAGGATGGTCCCTGGTGAAGCAGGATGGTCCCCTGGTGAAGCAGGATGGTCCCTGGTGAAGCAGGATGGTCCCTGGTGAAGCAGAATGGTCCCCTGGTGAAGCAGGATGGTCCCTGGTGAAGCAGGGTGGTCCCTGGTGAAGCAGGATGGTCCCTGGTGAAGCTGGATGGTCCCTGGTGAGACAGGGTGGTCCCTGGTGAAGCAGGGTGGTCCCTGGTGAAGCAGGATGGTCCCTGGTGAGGCAGGATGGTCCCTGGTGAAGCAGGATGGTCCCCTGGTGAAGCAGGATGGTCCCTGGTGAAGCAGGATGGTCCCTGGTGAAGCAGAATGGTCCCCTGGTGAAGCAGGATGGTCCCTGGTGAAGCAGGGTGGTCCCTGGTGAAGCAGGATGGTCCCTGGTGAGGCAGGATGGTCTCTGGTGAAGCAGGATGGTCCCCTGTTGAAGCAGGATGGTCCCTGGTGAAGCAGGATGGTCCCTGGTGAAGTAGGATGGTCCCTGGTGAAGCATGATGGTCCCCTGGTGAAGCAGGATGGTCCCTGGTGAAGCAGGATGGTCCCTGGTGAAGCAGGGTGGTCCCTGGTGAAGTAGGATGGTCCCTGGTGAAGCAGGATGGTCCCTGGTGAAGCAGGATGGTCCCTGGTGAAGTAGGATGGTCCCTGGTGAAGCAGGATGGTCCCCTGGTGAAGCAGGATGGTCCCTGGTGAAGCAGGATGGTCCCTGGTGAAGTAGGATGGTCGCTGGTGAAGCAGGATGGTCCCTGGTGAAGTAGGATGGTCCCTGGTGAAGCATGATGGTCCCCTGGTGAAGCAGGATGGTCCCTGGTGAAGCAGGATGGTCCCTGGTGAAGCCCCTGGTGAAGCAGGATGGTCCCTGGTGAAGCAGGATGGTCCCTGGTGAAGCAGGATGGTCCCTGGTGAAGCAGGATGGTCCCTGGTGAAGCAGGATGGTCCCTGGTGAAGCAGGATGGTCCCTGGTGAAGCAGGATGGTCCCTGGTGAAGCAGGATGGTCCCTGGTGACGGAGGATGGTCCCTGGTGAAGCAGGATGGTCCCTGGTGAAGCAGGATGGTCCCTGGTGACGGAGGATGGTCCCTGGTGAAGCAGGATGGTCCCTGGTGAAGCAGGATGGTCCCTGGTGAAGCAGATGGTCCCTGGTGAAGCAGGATGGTCCCTGGTGAAGCAGGATGGTCCCTGGTGAAGCAGGATGGTCCCTGGTGACGGAGGATGGTCCCTGGTGAAGCAGGATGGTCCCTGGTGAAGCAGGATGGTCCCTGGTAAAGGTAGGACCTTTCCTGTCCTCTCTATCCACATTCGCGACTACATTTTGATCTTGGGTTCCCCTTTACACTGCCCTTTTACGTCCCTCACCTCCCTCCATCAATTTACTGCCCCTTTCTTCCTACCCTTTCACTCTATTTCCCAGTTCCCTCCCTACATGAAACTCCATCTCAATTCTCTTGCCTCCAACACTCTCTCTCTCTCTCTCTCTCTCTCTCTCTCTCTCTCTCTCTCTCTCTCTCTCTCTCTCTCTCTCTCTCTCTCTCTCTCTCTCTCTCTCTCTCTCTCCCTCTCCCCCCTATCAACATCTCTACCTTCTACACCACTGAGGTCCATTTGAGTTTACCTTTATTCGTTGTGATCTTGCCTGGTATACTCCTTCAGAGGTTACCTTCCGCCTTTAGTCTCTCCTGCGGTATCCCATTTGGTTAAACTGAGTATACCTTCCATCGTTGTCGTCTTGACCGACTGTGGTTAAGGAGTTTACCTCTCGTGGGTGTCGTTTCACGTGGTTTATCTTTGGTTGGTGCCTTTAAAAATCACATTAATTGTTAGGTAGGAGTTCAACAGAATAATTTAAGCTTCGCTTGTTCTCTTGGCCTCTCGTTATTACATTTTTGTGTGTACCTTAGTCTACGGAATTACCCGAAGTTTCCCGTAGTTTACGCCCATTTCAAGTAATTCTTTACGTCCATTTGCAGTATTTTACATCGGTTTATAGAAGTTTACCCCCGCTTAAACCACTTAACATTACGTACGTTCTAATATTTGAGCGTTCTGACATTACTATGTTCGATTACACGTTCTTACATACGTGTATTCGCCTACGGTTCGTTCTAACCAATACGACCACAGTGGACCCATACAAGCTGCTGATTTTTTTTGCAAACTTGGAAAGGTAAAGTCCCCTCCCTGTCGCACCTCACCTCATTAACGGCACCCCTTCTCCCCACTCCCCACCCCCTTTAATGGTCACAGCTATTACAACCCCCCCACCCCCCACCAACTCTTAATTCTCCCCACCAACACCACCGTGGTTCTATTGCAGGCTATCGTAAGGTGAAGGGGAGAGGGGGAGAGAGAGAGAGAGAGAGAGAGAGAGAGAGAGAGAGAGAGAGAGAGAGAGAGAGAGAGAGAGAGAGAGAGAGAGAGAGAGAGAGAGAGAAGGAGAAAGAGGGGGAGAGGGAGAGAGAGAGAGAGAGAGAGAGAGAGAGAGAGAGAGAGAGAGAGAGAGAGAGAGAGAGAGAGAGAGAGAGAGAGAAGGAGAAAGAGGGGGAGAGGGACCAGGTGTGTGAGGGGGGGGGGGGTCACCAGTGGCTGGACCAAAGTGGTGTGTCGGTCGTAAAGCTCAAATTTACTTTATATTCCGCTGTTTCGCGTTTCACATCCAATTACTCTGGCAAACTCGACCGCAAAATCCAATTCACCACAATTATTTCCAGTAATGGGAGCACGTGATCATACCGCTGCTGATACAGGTATCTGGCCTCCACTCCTTCCTCTACTCCTTCAACTCCTCCTTCAATTGTCCAGTGTTCTCCTGGTGTCCTGCGGTGGATGGGAGGCACTACTGACAAACACGGCCATCTTCGTTACCAGCCCTCCCCCCGCCCGCCACCAGCCCTCCCCTGCCAGCCCTTCCCTGCCAGTCCTCCCCCGCCACCAGCCCTCCCCGCTCCTGGTACAAGACAGATATTTACATAACCTTCCTGTGTGTGCAGTATTAAGTGACCAGATTGCAACCATCTCTCCTTGTCCCCCCTCCCCCCCATCCTTGTTATCCCTCTCCCTCTGTTCCCACCCTAGTTCTTCCTCTCTCTCCTGGCCTCGTATTTCCTCACCTTGCCATGCCCCCCCCGTTCCATCCGGCTTTCTTATATTGCCATATACCTACATGCTTCCATCTTGCAGCACTGAGAGGAAAGCAGGCCAGCTGATGATGAAAGTTGCCTCATTAGGGGAGGCGAGGGGTGACCTCATCACCATCTGTGGACCTGTTTATGGGCAGAGATACGAAGGCGTATCTCGGAAGGGGAGGGGGAAGGTAAGGGAGTAGGGACGGGGGATTGGGGGGTAAGGTAGCCGTGTTGAGACACAAACAGTGAGGGAGATTGAGAGAGAGACTGAGAGAGAGTGAGAGGTGCAGGAGAAAGGGAGAGAAGGACGAACTAGATTCAACAAAAGGACAGACAAGCAGACAGACAGACAGACAGACGTGGAGAGAACACTGAGGGAGGGATGCAAAACTTTTTAGGCACAGGTTTAATAACACCACAAAATATATGTTGCTCACGAGGGGGAAAGTT